TTCCAAATCAGAACTGAGTTTGTTGCTTCTAGTAAAAGCAAATTGTCAACAGTCTTAAACAGCTACCGAATGCAAGTTCACTTTGAAAGTAAGGAAGAATAGCAGGATTCAGCTCACCTCCACTGAATTGAGAAGAATTAAATACAAAAACCAACCAGTAGCTACAACAATTTTCAGGACTGGACTAGCTCAGTGTCAGCAATCATGAACGAATCCTCCTCAGTGAGAATTCAAACACAGTTCAATGTAATAAGAGAATTAACAATAATATTGAACCAAGAAGGATTGAATACTACTTAGATATTTATTTATTTAGGTGTATACTTTTTCTTTGATCTATCACTAGCTCAAAGGACTGCTTAGGAAACCTTAACAAGCAAGGCTCCCTAACAACGATGCCACTTGAAAAAGCATGTCGTAATGCCTATCAAAATTCTAAGCTAAAATACAGTAATGTAGGAACTAGCCTAGGTCATGTCTGAAGGAGCCTTTTTACTGTTAAGTTCCCTAACAGGTCCAATGAACCACAATTTAAAATTTTAAGAATTGTGAAGAGTGTTAAGGAAAAAGGCTAATTCTGTAGTTTCCTGACTTAAAAAGAACCAAAAAGATTTTTTATTTTTTATTTTAATTTCATTATGCATTCAGAAAGCAGTTGTAGATGAACGAAGAACTTTAAACACTGCAATGGCACTCGAGATAAATGGTTAGAATGTTCCCTTAGAGATGATCTGCACCTTCCTTGCCTATTTAATGGCAGGAGTTAGAATCTGAATAAAAGGGCTTGGCTTACAACTTGGAAGCCGCTCACTATGAGCACTCAACTCGAGAGAAATCACAGCAAGTAACAGAAGATTCGGTCCAGGAATAATAATCAGCAAATCAATTCATCTACTAATGACCAACTCAGTTCTATTTAAAACCAACTGAATTTATGCAAGAGCAACAAACCAACTCAAACAATGTTCAGATGCAAAATCAGTTATACAGAGGAAGTAAGCATTAACTCGAGCCTATGAATGATTCATCAATCAATATTCCTATCAATCTCAACGATTCAGATAGTAACAATCATCACAATTTTGAATTCTAACATTTAGTCTTACAACTCATCCAATAAAACACAAAAAACTCAACTCAAGTCAATATGAGAAGAAGAAACTCCCTTGCTCGAAGATCCAAGGCTCCGGTACATTCACATCTCTAAGAGAACCAGAAAGCTCAGCTACGCATGATCTAGATTTGGAAGAGGCTTCGTCTCATGGATGCAACAGCTATGGATGAGGAAGGAATCGAAAGGAAAAATGGAGAATCGAATCTTAGATGTGAAAACTGGTCAGAGAAAATTAGTTCTGAACTTGCCCAAGATCAGCGTCCCCTCCTTCCATTGCATCCGATCCGTTAAAAGCTCTTCTCCCTCCAACAATCCATAATAGAATCCCCCACTCTCTCATTCCCTTTAAATGTTGCGCTTCACTTAACCAGCAGGTCCTTTCTTTTGGGCTAGGCTCGAGCTCTATCACTATTCCTGGCCCAAAATCCGTCTAGCCAATTCTGCAAATCCAAAATATGCTCTATTTCCCATTTTCCCCTGTAATCAATTCAAATGTAACCCAAAAAATAATTCCCAACTGAAAATTCATTCAAAACACTAATAAAGTATCGTGTTAGATCAGATTCTCAACCCATATGCATTTACGATATTATTTAAACAATAATGCAAATATTATCTAATTAGCTCCCTAAAATAGACTAAAATACATATTTTAAACACATTGAAAAAATGGTTTATCATTAGCCATCCAAAGTCTAATTTTCACGTTCTTGGTGTCATTTTTTTTATTTTTTTTTCAAGTTCTATGCAATGAGATAATTTTTGGAGCCTAAAAAAAATTTGATTCTCAAAACACCCAGAATAAAAACTAAACCCCTAAAAAGAGGTTCTCATATATTATGAGTTTCATGCCTCCAAGTCTATGTTTTTGGCCTTTTCCATATGTTTTTAATGGTTTCCTAATTACTTTTACATATTATTGGCATGTAGTAATAGGAAACAAAGAAAGTATGAAAAATAAAAAATAAATGAACTCGTGTTCAAGTTTCATGGAGGCAGTAAAAACAACACACATGCACTTACTCACAAGTATAGTTTACAAATAATAATTATACTAGAAATAAAAGAGAGGATTTGCATAATATTTGAGAGCAAATCACATATGTGAGAACCGATTTGTAACCTTAAAAAAAAAAAAAACAAGAACACGAAAGTATAAACAAGGTAGGAAAAAAATATAGGCCACTGTGACTTTCGGGCATACCTAGAAGGCATATAAATATTTTCAGTAGCCATGTGTGATCCGATGACATAGATGGAGTCAAATTTTGGTTATATAACAAGTATACTTGTGAAGAGAGAATGGGGAGGGAGAAAAGTTGCAAAGACAAAAAAACTTCAATAAGGGAACTATCATGCACACCTACGTATGTATCATGCATGCTTCAGTATTCCCATTTAAAAACTGAATAAAAAACTATTCCCTCTAAAAGATAAAGAATATTTTACAAGTAGTAACCCTCAGTCTTTAGTTTATTATATTTTGGACCTTAAATCTTCTGGGCTTAAGCCTATCCACCAAGGGTGGATCAGGCTAAGTCCAAGAGCAATATAGAAAATCAAAATTCAAAAAATTTATTTATAAAAATGCCATTTGTCACAATTTTGACATTGTCCACACAATCATTATATTAGTGTAGAAAACTGGCTATAAAAAAAATATTTTGCAATTATTATCTTACTTCTGGGTGCTTGAAATTTGAAATTGAGTTCGAGTAAAATGTATCTGATTAGGAATTTTAAAACACAATATTTGACGGTTATTGGCTAAAATCGTCAAGTATTTTAAAAACATACTTGATGGTTTTAGCAAACAACTGTCAAATATTCCTATACGAATCAATACTTGACCGTTTTTTGATAAAATCGTCAAGTATTTTAGACAAAAACTTGACGGTTATTGGGAATAACCGTCAAGTATTATTTTGCTATTTAGCACCTCTTTTTATTTGACGGTTTTTTAAATAACCATCAAGTATTTGGCATTAAATATTTATAAATCTGTAGTAATGTTAGACTTAAATCAAATATGCCAACATGTTAACAAGTGAGAAAGTTTGGGTCTATTTTTCAGTCCCAAAAAAAAAAAACCTAAAGCGCTTCATATTATGTGCCTATATGGTGTAAAAATCAAGTGTGCTGTTATCTCTTAACCCTTTGGAAAGTTTCCATCAAAATATTAAAAATTGAATTGGTTAGCAAAAGGTTGAGGCATATATACTACAAGACAATGATTAGATTGCAGTCAAGCAAAAGTTAATTAAATTAATAGATGTTATTATTTATAATAAGAAAGTACAAAAATATAATGACAATATTAACAATTGATTTCAAAAGGAAAAGTTAATAATTATTTTCCTGAGTTAAAAAATTATAACAAAAACATAGTCTTTAGCTGGAATTAAAATTTTCCTGACCTTCATCTTCCATATTTTCCATTACTCATATTTCACATTTTAGTTCACAAATTTTTCAATTTTTTCAATAATCATTTTATATATTTTTCAGTAATTATCGAACGTAATTTACAAATATGCTTGACTTGACTGCGTCTCCCATACGAAACTCATAAGCGAGGTGGATTTCCATCTAAACTCTGCGTCTCCCTTTCTCTGCTATCACAAGTTTGGCCACAAAAAACAAATTACACATGCTTAACATGCTTAGGACCACTTTGTTTAATTGGAAAAAAAAAAGTGATTTTAGTTGGGAAAGTAAAGGAGAGTAAGAGGAAAACACTTTAGCAAAGGAAATTTAGAGATATGTTTGAGCTTATTTTAATAATTAAGTTGCCTGGATTTGCTTATCGATCGAAATGAGCTAAAAGTGAAAAATGGATTATTTTTTATACGTCCTCATTTTCAATTTACCTCAAATTGCTCCCAACGCGCCCTTTACCATCTCCTTTACTCCCCCAACTAAATCATTGTTTTTTTGGAAAAAAAATAATTAAACAAACTGGCCTAAAATCATGTATGCACAATCCCTCGTTATCAGTTAAGTTTAGATCATTACATCGTTTATTTATGAGTAAAATACACCACCTATCCTTCTGTTTTACCTCAATTACAGAAACCTCCCTTTTATTATGAAAACGTGTATAAACTTCTCCTAAAATCAAAATGTATGTTACACAAACCTCCATCCTATATTTAAGATTCTATTTCCATCCATCCAAACCGTTAGTTGACCGTTAAGTTTGATTTTTAAATTTTGACCAAAATGCCCTTTTTTAACATAATAATTATTTAAACATTTATATTTTTCAAAAAAATATATTTTATAAAATCAACAAATGGTTCTAATACATGTATTTTAAAACTTCTAATATGTTATAAAAATTATTAATTTGAATTTTTACAATATTTTGTAATTTTAATTTTTCATCACATTCATTAAACTATTGATTTTGATTTCTTTTAAAATGCTAAAACATATTTCAAATATATAGTTTTATTTTATCATAAAATACAAATGATATAAGTTTGAAATATTGTTTAAAATATGTACATTTTTAATTCAAAATTTTTAAACACATTTTTGTACAAAAATATATAAACAAATTTAGTCAAGAATATATTTACTAACAAAATTAATTAAATTTTTAATCAAATTTTTTATGTCTACCTTAACTGAATTATTTAAACTTATGCTAAAAATATTAAACAAATAATTATTTACAAAAATAAAATAAATGAAATGAATAAAAACCTCTTAAATTCTTCAAAACAATCTTGACCAAAATGTGCAATACAAAATAAATACATCAAATATGTGTAATATGTCCATATAACATCCAATGATTTTGAATGACATTACCAAGTGACAAAATTTAAATCCTATTCTAGAGGAGTAACTGAAGGTATTTGAGAAGTAATTGAATGGGGATTGCTAGAAATTCCGCCTGACCTGGCAATCTTCAAAATCACCCAAAAAAAAGTCAGATTCAACAAAACACTCCAATATATTTTACAAAAGACATTGAATGTGAGAAATTTGATGTGCATACCTTCTTTGCTCGTCTAGCTTCAATTTTTGACTTTGCTCTTGCTTGTACTAAAGCATGATCTTGAGTTACTTCTTTAAATGAAGTTTGTGATGCACTTACAGAAGATTTCTGCAATAAAAAATGAGTAAATCGAAGTAGAAAATATTAGATGTAATTGTTGATAATAAATTAAGGTAATATATTACTTGTCTATTTTTCTTGACTTTGACAGGAGCTCTTTGACAACTACTTTTATTGTGTCCTAATTCTCCACAATTAGCACACTTGACAGTTGATAGTCTTCGTCTTGCATTTGATGGTGCATCATCATCTTTTTCTTTTTTTCTGCTTACTCTGGGCCTGCCGGGCAGTCTACATAAGGGGGGTGGAAGTATATCCATTTCTTCCACCAAACTTAAATCTGGCAAGGGGCTAATTATGCTAGAATATGTGGCTATGTAATTTATTTTGCTATAATAAGCATCACAATAGTCCTCTACTTTTGCCCTTATATATGCAATGGCAGCTGCACCATGTTTACAAGGCAATCTACTAAGTTGCCATGCTTTGCATTCACAAGTGTGAGAATTCAAGTTCACAGGAAATCTTGTAAACCCATCATATACTTCAAATTGATTATTACTAGCTACATCTACTCTACAATGCCTTCCATCTCTCATGGTCTTGTTTATTTCATCCACAATTCTTGCACCAACATTTTGTTGCCAAGATGTAGTAGAATGAAGCTTCTTGTGAAATCTCATCATTATTAATTTTTGACCTTAACTTATTTAATATATTCAATACGTTCATATTTCTCAAGTCATTTATCCACTTATTAAAAGATTCACAAACATTATTGGTAATGTGTGGACTTTTGCAACTTTCATGAAATGCATGTCGAGTCCAAGTATTTAATGGGATAGACATCAAATAGTGATACGCCTTATCATCATGTCTTTTCATTTTTTCCATTGCCTTCTTAAAAATGAATTCATTTGGAGCTTTAATAGCCATCCAAAAAAATTCCTGTAAGATTAGCAACGGAAATTTAACCTTGAAATTATTAAATAAATGCCTACCACAATATCTATGCCATGAGTTTGGAAAAAATTCAGCAACTGCTTGTCTCAATCCCTACATCCAACGAAAAAAGATCATAAATATGCAATCATAACATGTACAAACTTAAAAGAAATAAAGTCTGTAAAAAAAATTTACCTTTTGTCTGTCACTCATAATTATATAATGATTATCTCTAATTGCATCATTAAGATATTTCAAGAAAAATCTCCAAGATTCCTTATACTCTGCCTCAACCATTACACATGCTAATGGAAATAATTTGTTATTTGCATCAAGTGCAACTGCACATAGTAACACACCTCCATATGGACCTTTTAAGTGGGAACCATTTAGTCCAAAAAATGGCCTACAACCTTTCAAAAAGCCATCTCTACCAGCAGCCAAACACACAAAAATCCTCTTGAAAGTAAGACTTTCTTCAAATGATGACCTATCGTGATAGCATAACTTCACCATACTTCCCCTATTTTTTTCAACAATAACTCTGCATATTTTGGTATCTTCTTGTAACTTGTAGTATGAGAACCTTCACATTCTTCTCTCCCTTTTTTCCTTGCCCTACACAGTTGCATCTGATGAGCCTTAACTTCGTACTTGATAGTCAATTCATTATCCATTAATTCATAGTTCATGTTAAGATCAGCATTCAAAGACACTTTCAATTTATTTGCTATCCAAGTAGAGGTAGCATTGGGTTGCTTAGTTAACCTAACACAATTGTGCGTAGGTTCATATGTCTTTATCATAAAAGTCACACTATCTGGTGTGGAAGAAGCATGAATTCTTCAAGGACAACCGTCAGAAGCACAAATAGCAGTTACTCTTGTTTTTTCATTTTTTAATCTGAATATGTCAAAATTCTCTTGGATTATATAATCCCTTAAAACATTCCTAAACTCATTCACGTTAATAAACAATAGATCTCTTTCCAAATGCACTTTACCATTAGTATCATACTCAAATCTTCTTCCCTTAACATTCTTAAAAATATCTAGAAATTTAGGCTTTTCTATGTCACTACCACTTGCAAAATTTTCATTACCATCAATATCAACTTCAGGCTCACTATCTTCATTGTCTTCTACTCTATTCAAAATGGAATCATCATCAATCCTTTCACCCTCTCCCCTTTCTTCTAGTTCATTATCATCATAATCCTCTTCTTCAAAATCAATATATAATTTATCAGTATGAGGTTCACTTTTATTACAATTATCAATATCTTCAATATGAGTTACATTATCCTGCAGTGAAAATTTTTAAAATCAAAATACAAATATAATAAAATCAAAAGAAATAGAAAGTAAACTAAATAGCACAAATAGGTGATTGGTCATCTGGACACTAAATTCCTAAATAATATTTGGAAATTACTAAAGATAGCATGTGGGTGTGAGATGATTTTCACAAAAAACCGTGCTGCAATATCCGAAAGAAACCATATGTCAATATATACACACACATGTATGTATGTATGTATGTATGTATGTATGTATGTATGTATGTATGTATATGGGCAATTTCATTTGTTTGATGCCATTTTGATGGTCTTCAGTGACGACTTCAAGAGCTATTATGAACAAGCCAAAAAGCTGTCAATGACCATGTGAAAAGCTATTATGCTATGCTCTCTCTGAGACAAGCATAACGCAAGAGGCTGAAGAACCAATATACCCTTTGCTATCGTTGGCGACTTTGAGAGGAAAAGAAGAGTATGAAAAATTGGTACCTGCTTAGCCCTTGCTGCCATTGATTTTAGGTTGCCTCCCAGTCGTTGTTTTGATTCTTTTCTAAGCTGTGTGACCGTAAAAATAAAATTTAAAAATTTGTTAGAATGAAGGGTAAAATAGTAAATAAAATTTATTTTAATATAAATTTAAGATAAAATAATATTTTTAGAATCTTTTTAGAATATTCCTAATAGTGTTAACTAATTGGATTAAAGTGCATGTTTTAAAAATAGAGGGGAGGTTTGTGTAATTGATGCAAATTAGAAGGATAGTTAGAGTATTTTACTCTTTATTTATATATTTTATTTAAAAGAAACTAAGAAAGTTAGGTCAAGGGAAATGGGAAAGTAATTTGATTTCTCTTAAGCTGCCAGTTGAGCTCCTAAATTTTGTCTAATCGAGTAATATTGGATATCAAAGAATTAAAATTCACACACACAAAAGTCTGCAAATAGATACATGAGTACGTGACAATTCGGTATTTTACAATTTTTTAATCATTATGAAGTTATAAAAAAAGGAATGTAATCACCATAAAATTTTATAACAAGTAAGTAGAATGTATTGACAAGTTCTAGCATAGAACCCGACAACAAGTCCAAGTCCATGCTGCTTATTTATTGGGGGACCCTTTATTGATTGCATTCATTATTCTTGGGATCTCATAATGATTTTTCGCTATATATTTTCTTGTCTACCATTTTTGATAAAACTATCTTTTTTTTTTTTTTTTGCCAATGATAAAACTATCTTTTAATGGTATTATTTCTCCCTTAAATGGTTTGGGGTTTAAATTCTAACGTCTTATCTACTCTACTTCACGTGCGGAGTTCATTACTGATTTTTACAATGATTGGCTCAGCATTTTCTTCACTCTCATCTCTTGAAAAGAATTATTTTTTCCAATTTAAAGAAAAAATTAATAAATTGCTGCATTATCACTTCCTTGCTGGTTGGGCTAGATCTATTCATCGATGAAAATCCGACGGTCAACTTATGCCTTGTTGTTTTTGTAGCTTTAAATCCCATATTATACGCTTCCAAAACGCTCCATAGCCACCTACCCGAGCCACCGTCAGGGGAGTAACATGACAATCCAATCTTCAATGATGGGGTCCTACGCAGGAACAAAGAAATTCCTTCATCAATTATTCAATTGGTGAGTTGTTAATAAAATTATTTGTTATTTTAATATTTAAATTAAATCATTTTTATTTTAAATCTGAAATGAAATTTTTAATAAAAATTTCCAAAATTTTATCAGATCATTCCCAATATTATTTTACTTAAATATCATGCACAAGCCTTGAGACCTGTGGCAATATTGTCAATTCGGTCTTCTACTAAGTTTGATTTCTCTCATTTCTCTAATATGTGGAATATTAACCTGTGTTTGGTATAAGGAAAATGCAGGGAAGAAAATTTTCAATAAATTTTGAATTACAAAATTAGAGAAATGGGAAGAGAAGATATTTAAGACACTCCTGTCCATATTATAAGATCTCTTAATCCTATATGTAAGATATATGTTGCATGCTTATTAATTTTTTTTTATAAATTAACCCTATTAAAATTCTCTCAAGAATAATCAAGTATGAGAAGCAATGTACAAAAAACCGGACCGGTCACTAAACCGGTCAAGATAATGGGTTAAGGGTTAATGGGTCAGATCGGGGTTGAACCGGATTTAAACCGGTTTTAATTAAAAATAAAATAATATTTACAAATTACCATATTAAATAATAAAAATATTACATACTACAAAAGAACAAATACATTCATAGAAGAACGTGTCATATTAATATTTTATTTTTATGTAAAGGATTAGAAGAGGAGAGATCAGGGATCACGTGCTGCACTTTCAAAATAATAATAATAAAAAAACCTAAAATGATGCAAGACATGTCATAGGCTCATAGCTACAGATTAGCCATCATTGCTTCAGCCTTCCTCTTTTCTTGTTCCATGAGTTTATCTTCCCAATTCCGTGATTTACATTAGAAAACCACAACTTTTTTTCCTGAGTTTCATGCCCATAGCCCATTTTATTCTCCTGGGCGTATTGATATGCATTTGCACGATCTGCCTGGTTCACCTTCTCTGATCTAGCCTTTTGTATAGCTACCCTTACCTCTGTCAATATCTTTTCTAGAGCAGTGGACCTGGTTTTTTCATCTAGCTTCTTCACGTTAAGTACCGAGGCATTTTTCTTGTTTGAACCAATATGGAACTTCTTCATCAACTTTTGCTTGGAGTACTTGATTCACGGCTTTCTAGCTGCGTAGATCCTCATCGGAGTACTTCTTTCTCCTTCTCAAACTTCCTTCTCTTCCTCCTCTCCTTTTCTTTTCCGGTGACTCACTGACTCCCTTTCTTCTTTTTTGAGCTCTGCGTTTTTTTCTCCCCCCACAAAGTGAACTGGGTAACCCACCAAACCCAACAGTTACCTGGGTTTTGGCCGGGTCGCACCGGTTTAACCGGTTCACCACCAGTTTAGATTTTCCCCGGTTCAAGAGGTGAACCAGACCGAACAAATAGCTGGTTCACCGATTTCCGGTTTGAACCGGACCGGGTTTTTTGAACATTGATGAGAAGTGAGGGAGAGAAGTGAGAAAGATTCTTAGAGTATTTTAGAAAAAAAACATATTATATTAACTAATTTAACTAGCAACCTTAATCTACTCAAATTAGTTAATTAGGTTTTACATTAAAAACTAGAAAAGTAAAAAATAAGAAAACTTAATTACAAGCTTTTAATTGAATTGAGTCAGGAAACATGGAGCCAAAAATTAGTTAATTTGGCCGGCTACCCCGTGACGGATTGTGAGTTAAGTGATGTGGGTTAAAAAGTTTCGCTTGCTGAGCTAGCCCTAACCTACCATTTTGGGTGGGTTGGTGGGTTGGACCAGCAGATCCAACCGATATTACTAGCCCTAATTTTAAATTTGTGGTGTTTAAGGAAATTACTTTTTCTAATCATAATAGCGACATCCTTTTCTTTTGAATCTACTTTTTTTCCATTATGGTTAGCTTTGACTAACTTAATAAGTTGGTTTCTTTTCTGTACTATGGTAGCATTTGATGGAACCAGTTTCGATGCTTATCACTTTGATGAGCACCCTAAACTCATCAAATTTAAATCATCCATATCTTATTTAGATGATCCGAATTTGATTTTTTATTTTTATTTATTTAAAATAGTTATTTTAATATGTATAGGATCTAAAATAAAGATAATCTCTTACCTGTCATTCTTTCTAATCTCTTACATGTCATTCTTTCAAAAAAAATAATTTTTTATTTAAAAATAATTAATTAAAGATTTTAAATCTATACCGTTTAAATTAGATATAAACGATCTAGATCTGGTGAGTTTATGGTGCT